ATGAGGAATGATAAAGAGCAGTTAGCCTGGGATACTGGGGGAAAGGGAATCCTGGAAAAATGGCTTAATTCTCTTAACGCCCACTCGCTCCATTATTGTCACCGGTGGGGTGAGGTGAAATCTGGTGTCGCTCCAGCGGCGTGGAGGAGGAAGAGGTGGCTAGTGGATGGTGGCATTGTATGTTGGTTCTTCCTGCCAATGCAGCAAAGAATTACAGGTTGGTGAGATTTAGAAAAAGTAAGATTTGTCTATGGCCTTACCACCCTGAACATGCCTGATCTTGTCTGATCTTGAAAGCTAAGCAGGGTCGGGCCTGGTTAGTACTCTGATGGGAGAAAAAGTAAGATAGATAGATAGATCCATCCACCCGTCCATCTATTCATCTATCCATCTATCTAGATATCTATCTATTTTTAACATACAGTGCCTGGTATTCCTAGGTGGTTTCCCATCCAAGTACTAACCAAGCCCAACCTTGCTTAGCTTCTGAGATCAGACGATATCAGGCATGTTCAGGGTTGCATGGCTGTAGACAAGATTTATTGAAAGTACATTTTAGAAGGAGATGGGCCACGCTAAGGAAGGCTGCAGCCCTGTAGAATTTAGGAGGTAAAGAGAGAAGATAGTACACTCCAAAGGGAGGGGCGGGTTTCCAGCCAAGAGTGCTGCAACAAAGCAGAAATGGGAAGGCCTGTTTATATTTGGGCAGGTGATTAGAGGTCCTAGATGATCTGTATGTGAGGTCACCTTGACTGATACCTGGCTGCTGTATAAATTTTTGCCTACTGCGCATGTGCTTACCCAGATTTCAGTCAATGATAATTAGATTCATGAACTTCTAGGCATACTCATTAGATTATAATGATGGTATGAGGCTGAAGTTAGGGGCAGTACTTTCTGCGCATGCATTTGTAGCTGCTTTAGGCCAACAGCTTTTATGGCTTTTGTGCTCTAGGATTTGGGATAATTTATAACCCTAAAAGGGAGGTGTTTCTGGGAGGTGCTTAAGGAAGGTCTTCAAAGCAAGTTTCTGTGGTCACAGAGCTGGGCCTTCACTCCTGTCGCTCATGCCTAACTACCTAATGTTATGACACTTGTCATGTGGCAATTATTTGTTTATGTGGTTTTTATTCTAGAAGGTAGGAGAGGGAGCTTGATCATCTCTGTATCTTAGTTACTTAACACTGTGTCCATCACATAGCAGCTGCTGCACAGATGACTAACGAACATACTTGTAGTTAAGGCCTTGGCGAGCAACCCATGAACTGAAGTATGAGGTATAGGGATAGGACAGAGGGGAGATGAGCACATAATTTGCTTTGGGGGGTGACTCAGAAAAAACTGAGAAGTGAGACTTACACAGAATCTAGATCATCCTTCAGAAATTTACTAAACATTTCTTCTCTGTTGAGCGTCGAACTAGATGGGAACAATGACATGGTCTCTGTCATTATGATGCTTAAGGCCTAGCAGGAGAGAAGGACAACTATATAAGAAAGTGTAATAAGTGCTATAATTAAGGAAGTACAGGAGCTGTAGCAGCACCTAATCCAGCTAGTGGGGAGGGTCAGCGAAAGCCTCCTGGAGGAAGTGTCTTTTAGGATGAGTAGGAATTTGGCAGATGAGGAGGGGAAACAAAGTTCCAGAGGGACTGACATGTGCAAAGATCTGAAGGTGGGAGACAAGAAGTCTTAGACTTTTGGAAAAAAGTTAAAGCCAGCTGTAGATAGAAAACAGAGAAAGCTGGAGATGCAGTTCTGGGCTGAATGATGGAGGGCCTGGTTATGGAATTTGGCCTTTATCTTGAGGGCCATGGAAAACCATTGAATGTTTTCAAGCAGAGGAGGGTAGGATCAAATTCATGCTCTGGCTATAGAATAACCCTGTTAACATTGAATCAAGGTCTATACTTGTAATTTGCTGATCTGCCACATGATCCTTTGACACTGCAGCAGAGCTTCCCCTTTTCTAAATCGCTGAGTGCAGAGTAGAGAATGGTGCCTGCCACAGACTTGAATCCCTGGTATCTCAGATCCAAAGCCCAAGGCTGTGTTGCTTGGTGAATGGTTTTCAGGAATGTAGCTCTCACCTTAGCCTTTTCACAACAGCTTAAAATTTCTAAGCCATGGCACGTTCCTCTGCTCTGCTTTCAACAAATTGAAAATTTTTATGACAGTGTCAAATCAGTAGGAAAAGTTTTGAAAAGTAGGATTGAGAAATAGACTTCTTTGCCTTTTCTTCCTGCAAGGGATTTGAAAAATATAGAAATGCTAAATTATATGTTGAATATCCTTGGGGTTTCCTTTCCTTTCCTTTTGAAAATGTTTTACATTAACCAAAAATTCGACAGACACTTGTGGAAAGATAATTCATTTTGGCTGGAGTTTAAGCTCCATGTTGTGAACTTTTTAATTTTCTTTTGTCTGCAGTGGGTTGGGACCCAATTGTGCAGTTACCTGACCTCATCACAGTCCAGTTGCTGGGTGAGTTATCTCTGTGAGTCTGTATGTTTTCCCCCTGTACCTACCTAATGAAATCCAAATTAAATCAATTTTTAATCAAGGAGATGAATAACAGGTTTTTTTCTTAGAAAAGAAATCACAAGGCCCGCAAAAGTGTGGGATGCAATAAAAAGTTTTTATTTGCATGTTTGCCATTAGGCATGGCTATAATGCTGGGAAAACACGAAGTGCTTTTAACGTAGTATTTGGAAATATTGCCATCCCAGAGAGATGAACAAAAAGTGCTTTTTTTCTCTGTCCCTCTTCTCTTTCATAATTTGTGAGTGCCTGTGTGTTCCCAGCACCTTGCACAGGTACATAGTACATGGTAGGGGCTTGGAGACATCTGAATGAAAGAAAGGATAGTTTTGAGTAGGTCCTTCTTTCTCTCCTGTTGTCCCCTCTCTCCAGCTCCTCAGCCTGCTATTTTCTCATTTCTTCGTTCACTTGTTCATTCATTCAACATTTATTCCTTTTGGGCTAGTTGGCAGGCCAATGGTAGGGAGTGGGATGAAGAGAAATTTCCGTAGGGTCAAGGCATGGCCAGATCTTCAGTACCTATTGTGCTTCGAGGAGCCATCCCTCTGGCAACGTGGTCCTCTGGTGGTATTAGCAATCCAGGAACAAAGATGGGAATAGTCTGGAAAGAATGCTAGACCAGAAGGATCGTGATTAGTAAGGATAAGGGCATTAATCATAAGTTTCAGGGCAACTTCCTATGGCAGGGGACATTTTAAGCTCTGGGTCAAGCTGCTGGGGAAAATCTGTTGTTAAGCTATAGACTAAGGAAAGGTGATGCTGGGGATACTGTGAGGCCTCTACTCTGGGGGTCCCAACTGGACACTTCTTCAGTACCATCCAACTCCAGATACTGTTTACTGACTCCTATTATTAGATGCCGAGAATTTGTAAGGGCTAACAAACCACTGAACTGCGAGGCAAAGGAAGTGTTCATAAGCAGAGTTCACCAACAACGGTGACCCTCTTATCAGGTTTATAGCAAGCTTTCTTTAATCTCCCTTTTACCAAGGGGCTTTTCTGAAAAGGAGATTCCAGAATTTTGCTAAGACAGTACAATGGACTCTGTGTATGAAACTCATTTGGCACCTCTGGCAAAGAGATTTCTTGTGTATCATGATGCCATTCCCTCCCCGCCCCCCACCCCCTTAAGTCTTTTGCCCTAAGCTGTTGTTGGAATAAATGTTAGTTCCTAGTATCATGCCTTCAGGCCTTTAAAAAGCATTCTTTTTTTCTGCTTGAGATGCCTTTCTTATTGCCTGTGGCTGATTCCTTTTCTTTTAATCTTTAAAGTTTACCTCTTCCAGGAAGTTTTCCTTGATCCTCATCTCCTAATGGAGATATCTATTCTTTCTTGCCGTAGAGCCCTCTAGCCATCTCTGGCAGGCTTTTTCAGCCAGGTGCTTATTATAATTACTGATTTACTCGTCAATCTCCATTGTTCATCTGGAAGCTCCTAAAGAATAGGATCCCTATTTATTTAGTCTTTGTATCCCTCCCTGGCACTGACATATGTCTGGGATGCAGCAGGTCTTAAATATGTTTTGAAAAATGAATAATCTTGGGACGTGTTGGAGGTGGTGGCAACTGGTATGTTTCATAGTAGGCAATAAGGATTTCTTCATCTTTTCAAAGTGAACAGATTTTTTTGCTCTTTGTTAGCTTTCCTACATGGGAGAATAAATAAGGTCTTTGAAAAAATGCTTTTCTGGATTGGCGTGGCTGTCAGCTGCTCATCTAGGGTTGAAATGGCTTTGGCGTGGGTGTGAAACTGCAGGTAGTAAGTGAGCAGAGTGTCTGGGCTGCGTGGGCTTAGTTCGCTTCTGTTTTTCTGGATGCTTGCCACGTTTTTGCGAGCTACAACCCAAACATCTGGCTTCTCTGAAGTCAGGGCTTGTGCTTAGTTGTTTGTTGGAGTGGTTGCCTTTTAGAGTGAAAAGTCTAATATTAACCAGGTTTCTTCTAGTGTTTTCTGCTGGTGAACCAGGGGCTGCAGTGGCTGTTTTAAGGAGAGCTGCCACAGGTAGAATCCCTGAGCAGTGAGAGACAGGAAGGAGTAATTGAGAAGAATTGCCCCCTTATTTGTGGCAGGGCCAGC